TGGAGAATGTGATAACAGTTAAAATATAGTTAAATAATAAATGCAATAATTTGTATCCATATTTTATGTACCTTGACAAACCATACCTAGAAATTGTCCCCTTCACTCCATATATCTGCCTTATAAATGTGCCATTTAATAAGTCCAGAATAATGATATGGGGGAAGACTAATAACTCCATGTAATGTGTCTATAGTAGACAAGACATATCAAACCAGTGTTTAGAGCAGATAGAAACGTGAACTTGGCCATCACAGTGTCTAGATTTGACTCTCAAGTCCTCCCCTTTTGTTGTTGTTAGTTGCCATCAAGTCGGCTCTGACTCATGGTAACCTTATGTATAACAGAACAAACGTTGCCTGGTCCTGCCCCATCTTCATGATTGTTGTTACGTTTTAACTTGTTGCATCTATTGTGTAGTGCCTTCCAACCCAGGAGGCTCATCTTCCAGCACTATATCAGACAATATTCTGTTGTGATCCACTGAGTTTCGATTGACTGGATTCGGGAAGTAGATTGCCAGACCTTTCTTCCTAGTCTGTCTTAGTCTGGAAGCTCCGCTGAAACCTGCCCACCATGGTGATTCCACTGTTATGCAAAATACCAATGGCATAGCTTCAGCAAACAAAACATGAGCCACCACAGTATGATGAACTGACAGACGGGTGGTGGCTACCACTTATCATCTGCTTTACATTGGGTATTTCATCTTACTGCTTCTAAATCTCAGTTTCTTCATTCATAAACTGAGAATAATAATAAATTGTTGCTACCACATAATGCTGTTGAAGGATTTAAATAAATAATGTATGTAGAAGTTGTGCTTCTGGACTAAGAACAAATAGAAAAACTGGATAAAATATTTTAAAATATGTTAGAAGACACTAAAGGGCCAACAAGGTAGTGAAGAAATATAGATCAAAGACCAGGAGGACGGAAACCTAGAGAGATGAGCCATGGGTTTGCCACTGATTTTCTCCTGGAGGTATCTTTTGAGATGGCTGAAAGTCTGAAAAGAAAATGAATTCCTTACAGCCTCGCAAAGCTAGGAAAACAAATATTGAAGTCCAGAGAGTTAAGGATTGGGGGGAAGTGTGGTAAATCTCAAGTTTTGGAGTTGAAACCTGTAAGGGCTATACTTTAAGACTAGATATGTGTTGGAATTTCTAACTCCTAGGGTTGTGGAAAGGAACCCTGGTGGTGCAATGGTTAAGCACCCGACCGCTAACTGAAAGGTCAGTGGTTCAAAGCCATCAGCTGCTCCATGGGAGAAAATACCTGGCCATCTGCTCTCCAGCCTAGGAAACCCTATGGGGCAGTTCTGCTCGGTCATATAGGGTCTCTATGAGTCAGAATCGACCGGGCAACACATAACAACAACAACATAGCTATGGATGTAATCCTATTTGGAAATAGGGTTTTATTTGTTATGTTAATGAGGGCATATTCTAAACC